AAAATGAAAAATGGAGACACACTTGGCATCTCCAGTGGTTTTTTGGAATATATTCCTTAAAAAAATTATTGTCCTTTTATCAGCATTTGTGTAATACCTATGTATTGTTGTTGTTGTTAGGTACTATAGACTTATAACAGCCCTGTGTACAACAGAACAAAACACTGCCTGGTCCTGCACCATCCTCACAATCGTTACTATGTTTGAGCCCATTGTTGGAGCCACTATTTCATTCTATCTCATTGAGCATCTTAATCTTTTTCACTAACCCTCTGCTTTACCAAGCATGATGTCTTTCACAACTGGTCCCTCCTGATAATATGTCCAATGTATGTGAGATGAAGTCTCAGCATCCTCCCTTGTGAGGAGAATCCTAGCTGTACTTCTTCCAGGACAGATTTGTTTGTTCTTCTGGCAGTCTATGGTATAGTCAGTATTCTTTGCCAACACCGTAATTCAAAGGCATCAATTCTTCTTCAGTCTTCCTTATTCATTGTCCAGCTTTCATGTGCATATGAGGTAGTTGAAAATACCATGGCTTGGGTCAGCCACATGTTGGTCCCAAGGTGACATATTTGCTTTTTAACAATTTGAATCTTTTGCAGAAGATTTACCCAATGCAAATATGCTATTTGATTTCTTGACTGTTGCTACCATGGGTGATGATTATGGGTCCAAGTAAAAGGAAATCCTTGACAACTTCAATCTTTTCTCCTTTTATCGTGATGTTGCTTATTGGACCAGCTGTGAGGACTTTTCTTTGAAGTTGAGTTATAATCCATACTGAAGGCTGGTAGTCTTTGATTTCATCAATAAGTTCTTCAAGCCCTCTTCATTTTCAGCATGCAAGTTTGTGTCATCTATATATTGCAAGTTGTTAATGAGTCTTCCTTCAATCCTGATGTTGTGTTCTTCTTCATATTATGCACAAATAAAATTTTGGTGGCTAAAATGGTGTTGTGCCTAAGGAATTTGACTGCTAACCAGAAGGCTGGCAGTTCAAACCCACTGGTCACTTCTCTGAAGGAATGAATATTGGGTAATCTACTTCCATAGTGATACTGCCTTAGAGATCCAAGGAGGGGTCGCTATGAGTTGGATCTGACTCAACGGCAGTGAGTTTGGTCTTTTTGGTTTTAAAGTAAAAAACAGATTAAGCAATCTACTTCCATGGAGATTCCACCTTGGAAATCCAAGGAATGGTTGTTATGAGTCAGAAATGACTCAACGGCAGCGAGTTTGGTTTTTGGTTTTTTGGTAAAGTACAAAAATAGTAATAGCAGTATTTTGACAGGGAACTGGCAGTCTATGGTATATTCCAATATACCATATCTGGCTTTGGTAATAGAACCAGAGATTCAAACTGGATTCATAAGAGGATATGGAATGAGGGATATCAGACAATATCAGAAAGATGTTTACTTGTATTTTATTGACTATGCAACAACATGTGACTGTGTAGATCATAACGCAGTATGAATAACATTGTGAAGAATGGGAATTCCAGAACACTTAATTGTGCTCATGTGGAATTTGTACATAGATGAAGAGGCAGTTATTCAAGCAGAACAAGGGGATACTGTATGGTTTAAAATCAGGAAAGATACCTGTCAGGTCAGGGTTGTATGCTTTCATCATACTGGTTCAATATCTATGTATTATTATTATTATCATCTCCCCCCCCCCTTTTAAATTACAGAGAAAGAATCATAGTACACATTCTTTTTTCTTCCTTATTTAGTAATCAATATCTGCCAGATTTTGGCCACTTTGAATCAGATAATTATATGGTTTCATATGCTGGGTATGACAGATTGAAGAATGGCATTGCATTTATCATGAAAAAGAACCTTTCATGATCTTTGCTGAAGTAGAATGCTCTCAGTGATAGGATAATATCCTTACACTTACAAGGAAGACCAGTTATACTACAGTTATTCAAATTTATGCACCAACTTCTAAAGTCAAAGGTGAAGAAATTGAAGAATTCTACCATCTTTTGAAGTCTGAAGGAGCTCTGATAGCACAGTGCATAAGGTGTCTGACTGCTGGGCAGAAAGTTGGTGGTTCAGCTACACAGTGGACTTCGTGGGATAGAATACACAGGAATCAAATGGACTACATCTGTGGGAAGAGAGATGGGGAAGCTTAATTTCATTAGTCAGAAAAGGGCCAGAGCCTGACCTGGGAACACGTCATCAGTTGCTCCTTTGCAAGTTAAGGTTGAAGTGAATGAAAATTAAAAGTTCTTGAGAGGCAAATTATTATATTCCACTTGAATTTAGAGACCATCTCAAGAATAGATTTGAAGTATTGAACACTAACGACCAAAGACTAGACATGGTGTGGGTGGCATCAAAGACATCCTACATGAAGAAAGCAAAAAGTCGTTAAAAAGGCAGGAACGAAAGAAGAAAACAAAATAGATGTTAGAAGAGACTCTGAAACGTGCCCTTAAAGGTAGAATAGTTAAAGCTAATGATAAAGAAATGAAGTAAGAGAAGTGAACAGAAGATTTCAAAGGGCAGTTCAAGAAGGCAAAGCAAAACATTATAAGGAAATTTGCAAAGTCTGGGAATTAGAACACACTTGGCATTTCTCCTGCTGAAAGAACAGAAGAAAAAACTCAAGGCTCCAGTTGCAGTACTGAAGGATTTTGTGGGCAAAGTATTGAACGACACAAATAACAAATAGTAAAAGTAACAAATAGTAAAAATGTACTATCAAATGTTGGAATAAAAAAAATATATAAGCAAGCAGTTGGCTCAGAGCAGGAAGTAGCTCTACTATGATCCAATGGTTTTATTTAAAATATTTTGTAAGTATGAAATACATGCAAAAGAACATATGTACATCTTTTATGATACAAAGCCCAATGAAGCAAATCATTAAGACCAACCACACCTGCACGACAGCATTAATCATTCCTTGCCTTTACTCATCCCTGCCTGCCTGTCCCCCAGAGATAACTATTGTTGTTGTTATGTGCCGTTGAGTTGGACCCGACTCATGGCGACCCCTCCTTGGGTTGCCGAGGCAGTATCACTATGGAAGTAGATTGCCCCACCTTCCTTCCAAGGAGTGGCTGGTGGGTTTGAACCACCAGCCTTCTGGTTAGCAGTCAAGTGCCTTAGGCACTATGTTACCAGAGCTCCTCCAGAGATAACTAGCATCATAAATTTGTAATTTCTTTGGTATCTTTAAATAGTTTTACCACATACACATGTCGTAAAGTAATACATTCTTTGTTTGGGTTTCTTTTGAATTTTATTGAAGTGATATAAAACTGTATGTAATTCATATACATATCAAAAAATATAGCCATTAAAATGTTAAAAATTTTTTTAATCATTTGGGAAATTACTTAATATACAATGTTAAATGGAAAAAATGGCACAGTAGAAATCACTCTATATATCCAACACAGTATTAACCATATGTATTTGTGTATGTAATATAAATATATATTATATAAAAATATATATTATAGCATACACATGTAAATAACTTATTTTATGTATAAATGCATTTTTCTGAATAGGAAACACTATGAAGGAATAATGTTTTGGCAATGGTTGTCTGTGCCATTATGGGTGATTTTCCTTCCTTTAAATTTCACTATAATTTTCCATAGTTTTATGAAGCAAATGTGTATACTTTATAATTTAAGTAATCAGTACACATTTCCTTTAAAAAGAGGAAATCCGTAAATGAAGATTTTTATTGTCTTGATATAAAGAGTATCTTACAGCCTAGAAAATGCATGCTCTTTGAAAACTGAAAGTATGGAATGCTTTAAATTCTTGTATTCAGTGTCTGACTAAACAAAAGAAGACTAGAAAATAAATAACCAAGTGAAGAAAAAGAAGCAATGTAAGCTTTTCATGAAATCTGGTTGAAATAGCTGGTTTCAGAAAATTCCAAAATGGGCACATAATTCTTGTTGAAAATGTTTGTGTTTGGTGTTGACTTTAAAAAATTGTGAAAGACACACCAGTTGATGTAAATAAATCTACTCAAGTGTCTGTGCCACCACTTGTCTGTCAGTTTGTTGTACTATGGTGGCTTGCATGTTGCTGTGATGTCGGAAGCTATGCCACTGGTATTTCAAATACCAGGAGGGTTGCACATGGTGGACAGGATTCAATAGAACTTCCAGACTAAGACAGACCATGATGGAATGCCTGGAGATCTGCTTTTGAAAATTAACCAGTGAAATCCTTATAGATCTCAACTTGCATGCTTTGAGCATAACATCAGGAGAAATCAATCGCCAGAGGAAGACATCATGTTTGCTGAAGTTAGGGAGATTCTCAGTGAGGTGAATTAGCCCAGTAGCCACATTGATGGGCTCAAACATGCCAGTGATTGTAAGGATGACACAGGACCAGGCGAAGTTTTGTTCTCTTGTGTATAAGGTTGCCATTGGTCATAGTCAAATTGATGGCAGTTATCTGGCAGCTCCTTGTTGATGTACTCCTGCAATTGTTTTTGAATTATCTTCAGCAAAACTTTATTTGCATGTGATACTAGGCGGGACTAACGGCAGTGGTGAAGTTTGAAGACAGGCCTTGAGATGTGAACTGCTATGTCCTGCTTTTCCTTTGAGAAGACTGTTTGACTTGCTAACATGCCATTCTCACTAACTTTCAAGTTAGTGACTGAGCAATGGTAGGATGTCATTGGAAATTGTTATTTATCTATTGGATTAGCTTTCTTTTGCAGGTTGACCTTTCTGTGCTTCTATTACTTTTGAATGTGCTCCAACTTTAAATCTTATTAACACTGGTTTGTATATTTAAAAATGATTTTGGTTTATGATTTATTTATAGCATTTAATCTAACTTAAAAAATGTTTATGGTATATATACAGTATTTAATATTGTCCCTGACTTATTTCATTAAGAATGATAGGTGAAATTACAGGCAAAACAGTAATGATGTATTTTATGTCAGTTATTTTGAAACATCGATTTATTAAAATTTTTATTTTTTAACAGAGTCATATTAAATCTGTAGACTCAGGAGAGACTAACATAGATGGAGCCTTAGGTGAGTATACACTGTGATATATGTGTTTTATTGAAATACTTTGATGCTGTGGTTTAGAACTTATTAATAATCACCTATAATAATTGACTCTTCTCCTAGGACTGATGGCATCGGAAGAATTTATCAAGATCACATTGTCAGCTTTTGAAGCAATAATTCAGTATCCTATATTATTGAAAGACTATCGCTCTACGGTCAGTTCTGGCAGCTTTTGTAAAAGCACGTTTTCATTCTCTTGGAACTTCTGTATATAAAGAGACCTCATTTATAGATGTTTACTTATATGTATTCCTTACATGGAATAACCATTCAGAAAAGCTGCCCCTCCTGACAGGATGAACATAGGAAATCCCTTCCCTTCTTATTGACTTTCTTCAGATTTTTCTTTGCTCATTGATTATTCAGTTTCCCCTCTTGATTCACACCTTTCCCCTCAGCTTCCTTTGCTTATTTATTGCCTGATTATTTGTTGTACCCAATAGCATAAACCCTTAGAGTAGGGTTTCTCAATCATAACACTGCTGATATATTAAGTGGAATAATTCTATATGCTGTGTGTACCCACCAGATGTTGGTAGCATTTAGGTCATCTCTTACCACCCCAACTGGGTTGCGACATCAAAAAAATGCCTCTACATGTTGCCAGATGTCCCCTCAGAGAGAAAATTGTGCCCAGTTGAGAATCTGGCACTGTCTTAGAGGGATCTTCAGTTGAATTGGGTGCTGACTTTTGAGAAGAGAAGACTGACACCACTGTGTTCTCATTGGCACCCCCCTGGCACTGTGGTTAAGCTCTCAGCTGCTAACTGAAAGCTCGGTGGTTCGAGCACTCTAGCTGCCCCATGAGTGAAAGATGTAGCAGTCTGCTTCCTTAAAGATTTAGAGCCTTGGAAACCCTTTGGGACAATTCTACTCTGTCTTACAGGGTTACTATGAGTTGGACTCGGCTCATTTACAGTGGGTAATGGTCTCATTAGCAGGAGCCTCGAAGAAGAGGAGCTTGGTAGGAGGAGAAAATGATTGTGAAGCCAGTATCGGTCCTCACCAGGTAGTGGCTGTTTCTGGAGGCTGTCATGGACTGGCCCCATGGTTCCCTTCATGATCCTCCTGAGTCCTTCCCTAACCTCCCACTGAAGGAATAGTGATTTGGTACTGGGAAGATGGGTGCCTTGCACTCCAGCTTCTGCCTCTTTTCCCAGTGTCCCATTTTAATTAGCATTTGTCCTAAAAAGAGTGAGCACTTTTGGATAATATGACTGCCAACCAGAAGGCTGGTAGTTCAAACCCACCAGCCACTCCTCAGAAGGTAGATTGGGCAATCTAGTCCCATAGAGATATGCCTTGGAAACCCAAGGGAGGGATCTCTATGAGTTGGAACCAACTCGACAGCAGTGAGTTTGGTTTGGTTTGCGTAGGCATAACTCAGTAGAGCAGTAGAGATTTTGATTAGAAATTGTTTTTAAAATTTCAAACAAGTAACCTACAGGAAAAATTTTGGACAACAGCCATTTATGAGTCAGGGACTGCCTGCAGTGGAAATGAATCAAAGGACTAACTTTGGAAATTAAAATTGTATTTTAAACCAGAAATTGTGCATTAGAGAAAAATCAGGTGACCTGCTGAGGATCACATAGATACCATTGTAGAATGGAATTCTGGAATTTGTTTCTTTACATTATCCTTTTCCCCTGACTTAGCCTTTTTTTTTTTTTTTTTAACATTGTTTAAATATTTTCTTCCTTGACTTGTAATATTTTGGAATTAGACAGTTCAGTTCTGGTTTGGGTTAAGTTATATACATATTTAAAAAATTCAATTTTAAAAAATGATAACTTACAGTTTATAATGCCAGAGACATATCATTATATATTTTGATTTCTGCATTAGAAATTATTTTGAAAACTAGATACAATCAACTTTATTCTAGAATTTTATATGCTAGTTATTAACATACGTACATTTTCTGTGAAATAGTATTTAGAAGATTATGTTGTTGTTTTTCTGTGTTGTCGAGTTGTCTCCAACTCATAGCAGCCCCTCATTGGGTTTCTGAAGTGGTATCTCTATGGAAGTAGATTGCCCAGTCTTCCTTCTGAGGAGTGGCTGGTAGGTTTGAATCACCACCCTTCTGGTTAGAAGTCAAGTGCCTTAGGCACTACATCACCAGAAGGTTATGTAACCCTGTTCTGGTTACCTAGTGCCGCTCTGATAAGAATATACCACAAATGGGATGGCCTTAACAAACAGGTGTTTATTCTCTTACAGTTTGGAGGTTTTAAGTCCAAGTTCAAAATGCCAGGCTCTAGGGGCTGCGTAAAAGCCCCTCAACCTAGGGTCCAGCTCTGTCTCCTGCTCCCAGCCCACTGGAGCTAGCGGCATTTCTTCACTCAGACAGCTGATGGCTACTGGGGCTGGGAAGCCCAAGTTTGACAAGTAAAAAGGCACAGTCCCAATGTTACCAAACCACATGGCAGGCCATTAATTTAAGCCCACTGTAAGTCCCAAGGTCGGCAGAGCATGGCAGGCTGTTGAACAACAACATGACTACATGCAGGGTCCATACAGGAAGCAGACCACATTCCCTAAGGCAGCTACTCAGCTGCTCCCAGTAGATTCCACCATGAAATTGATTACCAGCCCCATCATGGGAATACTACATCCAGGTGCCCAGCCACTCAACCAGGCCCAGCCAAGTTGACACACAAACTGAACTAACATACCCCCTAAGTGTTAAAATAGTAATATTACTACCTACCCAGGATTCTCTTGCCTTTTTTTTTCTTCTTCATTTTTTTCACATTTTAATAAGATTGCATTTGCTTCCATGATAGTGGCAACTGTGGGAAAAGAGCAATGGCATTTCAAAACTTTTTTCCCCCGTCTTTTTCGTTTTGTACTTTCCTGATGTTATAGTTAATATAGATTTCTTTTTATTTATGCTGTTTAGGATCCTCTGTGTATCTTAAATCTGTAGATTGTCATTTTTCATGAGTTTTGGCAAATTCTCATTCTGAGTCTTCTTTTCTTCTGCAACTATGTTTTCTAAACGTCTGTTTTTTTTTCTGTGTGGTCTTTTTTTCTCTCAGTATTTTTGGATAATTTCATTTGATCTATTCTCTACTATGTCCAGTCTTCTGCCAAATACAGCTGTTGAGTTTTTAATTTTCTTTAACTTATTCAAGTTCTGTCATTGCTAGATTTTTTTTTCTATTTTTTTCAAATGTACTGTATTGCCTTTTATAGTTTCTTGTTCCCTATAGATATTTTCCAGTTTGTTACTTATTTTATTTTTCACAGACACTGTTTGATAATTCCATTATCAGAAGATGGTGAAAGTCTCCTTTTGTTGGTGGTGTTTAGTATACCGTGTTTGTGCCCAATTTATCTTGATTTTTTGTGCCTCTGATTATCTTGTACTGGTTGCTGGGCATTGTCCTTGAAATCTGTTTGTGGAAGTTTCCTAGGGCCTAGTTTGGAGATTCCGTTCTCCAGAGAGTCTTCATGTTTCCTTCTGCCATGCACATAAGGGCTCTGGCAATCAAGGCTACCCTAGACCAAGGTCATATTTTGAGATTCCTTAGATAGGCAACTAGCCTCTCTGTACCCAGTATACAAATCCCTGAGAATAAGGGTATAAGGCTTTAACTTCTCAGGGCAACCTTTTTAGTACTTCCTAGGAGAGTGGTGTGAGGAGTTGGTAACAAGACCTGATGAGTTAATAACCTTTATTCTGGGGCCACAGATCAGTGTAAGGAAACTCTCATAATGCACTGAGAGGCTCTGGGCCCAAACCTCTCTCTCTGGTCCTGTGACCCCAACTGAAGCCCCATGTTTGTATTGCTGGCAAAAGCTTTCTGCTTAATTCTCTAGTTACAGGTTTTCATTCAAAAATTGGTCTGAGCATTCTCAGCTCTCCTTTTAGATTTTAACTGTTTTTAGGGCTTTGATGTTTTGTATATTACTTGGCATTTTTCATTGTTTTTGGTGAGAAAGGTAGTCCAACTAACCAAACTCACCATTCCCAGAAACACTGTCATGGTCATTTTCTTAGCAATGATTTCTTAGCTTCCCGTTGAGATATTACTCTGGTGTTACTTATTGATCCTTTTTTCTGAAGAGCAATAACCTGTGGCTGATTTGTAAAGATCAAGTATTAATAAACATCTGTATTTATATTTAAATTGTAATTTAATGAATTTATTTTCTAATTATGATATGCTAGCCTACTAATTATTGAAATCAAAACCTTCCATTATGACAGAAAAAGTAAATGTTTTTTACAGACTTCATAAAAAAATACTTTTCAATGCTCTAACTCATGGGAAATCCTGTAATTACCTCTTCTTAAGTGTGACTGGAATACACAGAGATGAAGATTCAGTGGCCTAAGGAATGTAACATTGTTTGAAACATTAGCACAACTGTGTTCAAGGTTCCTAATCAATACTTTATCCTATGGAAGTGTCTAAATGCATAATTCTAAACTAAGAATTAAAACATAAATGCTTAACTAAGATTTTTCCTAGAATTTAGATCATTTACTGCCTCAGAGTTGGAATGCTTCAGTGTTGCCTACAAAGCAGTCAGAAATAGCACATTGATTTGGTATGTAAGAAGAATTTGTTTCCACTCTTGGGAGATTTAAAAAAAAAATGATATTGATAGCAAATGGAAAAAAATAAGATGATTTCTATATTAGAAAAGTAAGGCAATAATAAACATAATTAACCGAAAATGAATTTTTATTTCTGTATCTTTGAAAAATAATCTAAATCTTAGTATCTTTTTGTGAAAAGCCTGTCCTATATGGAGATGTTTTATTGTTTCAAATGTTTTATTATGATTTGGGTGAAAGTTTACGGAACAAATGAGTTTTCCATTCAAGCACAAATTTTGTTTCATGTCGTTGATTATAATCCCCTCAATGTAATATCTCTCCTCCTACTTCCTTCTGGGTTTCTCTTTTTTTATTCCTCCTTTCTTAACTCTTCCTGTTCTCTGAACTTTATCCTTGGGTAAATGCTTCCCTTTTGATCTCAATGGTTGACTGTTCTACGGAGAGTATACTTTTCTAGAGTTACTGTTCACTGTATAGGCCTGTCTCTTGTTTGACTAAAAGTTCAGCTGCAGGGGTGAGTTCAGTTCAAGTCAAGTCTGAAGGGTGACCAAGGGCCTTAGTCTTGGGGAGTTCTAC